CTCAATGAGTACTCCTTCCCTCTAAATACATTTTTATCTAATACACACATGGCAAATATATTTATAGGCTACATTCAGAGTGTCAAGTACAAGTTACAGAGGAGAAGATGATAGCTCTGTCTGGAAGAGGGGAAGGCAAGAATCCGGAGAGGAAATGAAGGTTAAGCTGGGTTTTAGGATTTGCCATAGTGAGTGAGGACAAGAGGAAGGGAAAGGTGTGAAACAGTGTGCTATGACTGGGGAACAGGAAAGAGTGCAGTCTGAATGAAGCTAGAGACCAGCGGGAGATAGTGTGTGGAGGGGCTAGAAAGGCATGCCACTCGTCTGTCCCACTGCCATTGAGGTGATTCTGACTTACTGTGACCCAGTATAGGATTTCCAAGGCTGTAAATTTTTAAGGGAGTAGCCTCATCTTTCTCCGACGGAGTGACTAGTAGATTCAAACTACTAACCTTGTGGTTAGTAACCCAGCTCATAATCCACTGCCCTACCAGTGTTCTTTATAAGACAGAGTAGAACTACCATATAGGGCTTCCAAGACTATCAATTTTTATAGAAGCAGACTGCCACGGTTTCTTTCCCCCATGGAGTGGCTAGTGGGTCAAACCTCCAACTTTCTGATTAGCAGCCAAGAACTTAACCACTGCACTACCAGAAAAGGTAGGAAGAGGTCTTATATGTCAGACAGATGGAATTTCATTTATCTTGTTTATAATCATAGCAAGATCTGTCCTTAACTGAGTGATTACTATGTGTCAGACATAACAATCATTCATTTAAGAAAACAGCAACCCTAAGAAGTAAGTACTATTATTATCTCTGCCCTAAAGTTAGAGTCCTGGTGTGACACTGTAGGATAAGCACTTGACTGCCAACTACAAGGTCAGTTGGTTCAAGCCCGCCAGCTGCTCCTAGGAAACTGTATACAAGGTCACTATGAGTCAGAACTGACCTGATAGCACTTAACAACAACAACAACAAAGTTGAAAAATTGAGATCAAGAGAGAGTAAGACACTTACTGAGGATGAGGATTAATTATATATTATACCAACTGGAAAGGGCAACAGAACTCTCTGTTATGTGGCAGGACACAAGACCATATCAGCATTCTAAGCCTAGAGTGCCGCTCTAGTGGGGCTTAGATTCCTAGATTTGCCAAATTCTTCTACCTTGTTTATGCAAGGGTGGAAATATTATACAATATCTCTAGCCAATCCACAGGAGCTCCTGGGTAGTACAGATGGTTAAGTGCTTGACTATTAGCCCAAAAGTTGATGGTTTGAACCTATCCAGAGGAGTCTCAGAAGACAAACCTAGCAATCTGTTTCTGAAAAGTCACAGCCTTGAAACCCCCACAGAACAGATCTGCTCTGGACACATGGGGTGGCCATGAGTCAGAATCGACAATCCACAGAGCTTGAAGAGCACTAGTTGGAAACTCAAGTTGAGATGCCCACTGTTGTTGTTAGATACCATGAGTCCGCTCTAATTAATAGTGACCCTATCTACACCAGAACAAAACACTGCCTGGTCCTGCACCATCCTCACATTCAGTCTTATGTTTGAGCCTATTATTACTGCCACTGTGTCAATCCATCTCATTGAAAGTCTTCCTCTTTTTCACTGATGCTCCACTTTACCAAGGGCTGGACCCACCTGGTAACATGACTAAAGTACATGAGATGAAGTCTTGCCATCTTCTATTCTAAGGAGCATTCTGACTTTATTTCTTCCAAGACAAAATTCATTCTTCTGGAAGTTCATGGTATATTTAATACTCTTTGCCAACACCATAATTCAAGGCATCAATTCTTCTTTGGTCTTCCTTATTCATTGGCCAGCTTAGGAAAGCATAATACCTTAGTCCTCAAAGTGTCATTTTTGCTTTTTAACACTTTAAATTGGTCTAATGCAGTCGATTTGCCTAATGTATTACATTGTTACTTCTTGACTGTTACTTCCATGGCATTCATAGTGGATCCAAGTAGAATGAAATCTTTGACAACTTCATTCTTTTTTCCATTTGTCATGATTTTGTTTATTGGCCCAGTTGTGAGGATTTTAATTTTCTTAACATTGAAGTGTAATCCTTACTGAAGGTTATTGTGATAGACTGTGATGGATTTTCATTAGTTAGTCCTTCAAGTCCTCTTGGATGTCATTTATATTGTTAATGAGTCTTCCTGCATTCTTCTTCATATACTCCAGCTTTTCAGATTATTTGCTCATCATACAGATTGAATAAATATAGTAAAAGGATAAATTCTGACACACACCTTTCCTGATTCTAAACCATACAGAATCCACTTGTTCCATTAGAACAACTAACAATTTAATAGACAGATCTGGATTTCAGCAAAAAAAAAAAAACAAAAACTGAAGCTGGAAATAAAAGTGGGACTCATATGACTCCTGGTAGTTGAACACACAGCAGGAAGAGAACAATCCACTAGAACGAGCACAAAATAGGAAAAGAAAGCTAAGGTATGAAGCCTGTTGCTGTTAAGTGTCCTCAAGTCAGTTCTCACTCATAACAACCTTGTATAGGGTTTCCGATGAGCAGCTGGAGGGTTTGAACCATTAACCTTGCAGCTAGCATTCCAGTGTTGATCCAACAGTACCACGCCAAGACTCCAGAAGTATGAAACTTAGGGAATCCCAATATTAAAATCAAAGAAAGTGATTGAGCAAGAAGAGTTTGAACGAGGAGGAGAATCAAGGGTTGTGTCATCAGAGTAAAGGTGGGAGAATTCAAGGAGAGTCTGGTTCACCTTGTCAAACAGTGTATCCCAAAGTCCAGTAGAATAAGAACTGACAAGAGTCAACCAGATTTGGCAAAGCTGTGATGGAGAAGAGAGGATTTAAGATCATGAGACAAGAAAGAAGTAACAAACCTTCCATAAGAGGAGTGAGGTTTCTTCTACATCCAGAGAGAAAACAATGAGGATGAGTGTGGATACAGACAAGTCTGTAGGAGGGTCAGTGGAATGACACCTGTTTTCTCCTGAAGGAGGTAAAGGAATGCCCCAGACAGACTCGGACTATGTTTTTAGTCTCTTTAGGATCAAAGAGGCTAAAATAAAAGAATCTGAGAAGCTTCCAAAGGAAATGAAGGGAATTTCCACAAGCTATCTACTTACTTCCACCACTCGTCTGTCACTTTGTCATACTGTGGTGGCTTGTGAGTTGTTGTGATTCTGGAAGCTATGCCACCGGCATTTAAAAACCAGCGGGGTCACCCGTGGTGGACAGGTTTCAGATGAGCTTCCAGACAAAGACAGACTAGGAAGAGGTAGTGACGAACTATTCTGAATATTTAGTCACTGAAAACCTTATGACTAGCAGAAAAACACTGTCAGATATAGTGCTGGAAAATGAGTCACTCAGGTTAGAAAGCACTGAAAATGCCTTCCAAAAACTAAAAAAACTGGGGAAGAGTTGCCTCCTCAAAACAGCGTTGATGGTGATGGCACAAATGGAGTAAAGCCTGTGGGAATAAAGCCCGTGGGACCTTCATTTTCTGACGGGACACAACTCAAAATGAAAAGAAACAGCTGTAATATCTATTAATAATTGGAACATGGAATGTATGAAGTATGAATCTAGGAAAATTAGAAACTGTCAAAAATGAAATGGAACACATAAACATCAATATCTTAGGCATTAGTGAGCTGAAATGGACTAGTCTTGGCCATTTTGAATCTGACAATCACATCATTTACTACTCCAGGAAGGACAGATTGAAGACGAATGCTGTTACATTCATTGTCAAAAACAACATATCCAGATCAGTACTGTCTGTGATGGATAATGTCCATGCACTTACAGGGAAGTCCAGTTAATACCACTATTATTCAAATTTACGTACCAACCACTAAAGCCAGTGAGGATGAAATAGAAGAATTCTACCAACTTCTTCAATCTGAAATTGATCAAACTTGCAATCAAGATGTATTGATCATTACTGGTGATTGGAATGCAAAGGTTGGGAGCAAAGAGGAAGGATCAATAGTTGGAAAATATGGCCTTGGTGATCGAAATGATGCTGGAGATGCCATGATAGAATACTGCAAAGTTAATGGTTTGTTCATTTCAGATACCTTCTTTAGACAGCATAAGAGACAACTATACACATGGACCTCATCAGATGGAATACTTAGAAATCAAATTGACTACATCTGTGGAAAGAGATGATGGAAAAGCTCCATTACCACCAGTCAAAACAAAGCCAGGGGCAGACTGTGGAACAGAACATCAGTTGCTTACATGCAAATTCAAACTGAAGCTTAAGAAAATGAAAACAAATCCACGAGAGTCAAAATATAACCTTGAATATATCCCACCTGAATTTAGAGATCATCTGAAGAACATATTGATACACTAAACACTAAAGACCGAAGACCAGAGTGTTGTGGGATGACATCAAGAACTGGACTGCATACCAAAAGGTCGGCTGTTCAAACACACTGGTAACTCCTTGGAAACCCTATACAGGGTCACTATGCGTCAGAGCCGACCTGATGGCACTTAACAACAATATAGGGTTGTGATGTTGGAGAAGATACCTAATTGAAAAATAACAAAACAGCATCTCTCTATCAAAATTCCCTCTTCTTGCGCTGGACTGCGAGGTCATTTGAACTGCAACGTTGGCAGTTCAAGCTCACCAGCCACTCCTCAGAAACCCTGTACAGGGTCGCTATGGGTTGGAACCGACTCGATGGCACTTAACAACAACAACAATCGACAATTAATTATCAAGGCCCAGAAGTAAAAGCGGTTGTTACTTTTAAAGAGGAAATTAATAAGAGCCATAATTAAGAAGGCTTTTAACTATGAAATGATATTTAAGAGGGATTAGATAAGATTGTATAGCTTTTATGAGAATACCTAATCAAATTTGTTCCAAACTATGTTACGCCATGATCTTTATAATCCACTTGACAGGACATGAACACCCGAGCTGCAGTTATTAAGTAAACGAAATGTTTACACCTACCTTGTATTTGGAAGTATCCCAGTTGTGGACTATGCGGGCCGGGATAAGAAAACTGTCGTCGACATGGCAGCTGCTGCAGTAGTACCACCCACTGTAATTACACACATTTGCTTTCCCGTTGGAAAGGCCTATGGATCTCTGGCAACCTGTTCAAGGCAAGAGAAAAGAGGCCATTGGAGATTGCTGTTGTCATTTTAACACCACCCATCACGGTTATACAACCTTCAAGTTAAACTGAAGTCTGATGCAGATTCATTTTCTGAAAAATCAACAGGGCACTTACTTGAAGGAAACATCCATTCTTTCAATTAATTGCAAGATTTCCTTCTTTAATATCACACTAACAAATCATGAGCTAAAAATGTCTGAAGCAAATCCCCATAAAAATATACTATCTGGGGTTTTACTTGGATGAGAGGTTTTCAACAAGAGAAAAGAAATGTGTTTTCTTACTAATGATTGTTACAAACACATTTTTTGGAGGGAGCCAAAGCTGGATCTGACTGGCTACATTATGGGCAGCAAAAATAGAACCACAAAGTAGAGATAATTGGAATAACTAATTAGAGCTTATTTACATATTATATTTTTATGTACTTTCAAACAGACTTTTCAACAGTGCTTCTAAATTAAAGGGCATTTGTAGTAGAGAACACTCCCCATGTTGGATCAAAGCAAATACATTCTTCCCAGTCTCTTTTAGAAACTTTCCAGAGTATGCATTCAATTCATAGGAACAAAAACCTATCACACAAGAGAACCCACTGGTCTTTGTAAAAATTATTATTTATTTATTTATTGCTTCCCAACCCACTTCAAATCTTTAGTGAAGACATGCTCTGAAGAGCTTAGCTTCCCCCTCTGATACACTTTGGGAAACAAATGTCACCATAGAACCAAAATCCTATGTGCTACATGTATAGTTTGTTTCCCAAGTGGTTTTCACTAAAGACACCCAAAAGGATCTGTTGCTGGGGGCTGAAGCAGAAATTTTGGCATAATTCTCCACAAAGGCACCATCTTTCTTCTAAACAGCACACTTAGTTAGCTCAATTGGCTGCAATGCGGTGTTACTAAAGCCGAGACCTTGAGGAGATGCCAACCATGTTTTCTCCACTTCATGGCTACCAACCTCAGCCCTCGTTCCTCTGGTCAGCATGGATCATAACAAAGAAGTTATGAGGAAAGAAGCCAGACTCACACTTTCTAAGTGTGGATCAGTCACGCCTTTCTTTTCCATCTCTTAAATTAAGCTTTAACCAAATTTGCTAAATCCAGTGTTTTGTATTTGGAAGGTAGAAACATTTTAAGAATAGAAAAGAGGCAAATGAAAAGAAAGGAGAAAGGGTGCTTCTATAAAAGTGAGGAAAAGAGAGAGTGGGAGGATGCATTTTTATTTGTTCTGTAAAAGTAGGGGGCGCAGGGCAAAAATGCAAAGCTGTTGAGTTTCACCCTCTCTGCTTGTTGTCAGGAGAAAACTCATAGGAGTAGGGTAGGGGATTGTCTTCTCTTCACCTGTCTCCACTGTCCTGGCAGGAGAAAGGAAAATGTGTTAAAAACTGTAAAATGTTACTGGAAATCTGTTGGTATGAGGCTAATGAAAGGAGATGGGGATAAGACTCTTGTGGTACAACAGTGAATAATTGCTATCAGGACTGACTATGAGGGTCGGAAATGTAAAGGTAGATTTTTGTAACAAAAGGAGGGGAGTGACTCATTTTGCAGTGCAGGAGCAGAGGTCCCTGGGACTCTCAAGTGAGAAGAGCAGAGTGTGGGACACTACCCAGAGAAGCAGTGACTCCAGAAATGGAGGCAGAGACGATGACGTGGACAGATGGAGTGGCTGGGGACACTTGGCTCAGGGAGGGAGAGAAGCTGTGTGCTGACCTTGGGGGCCGGGCAGGCCTGTGGGGTGTACCCTTTGGTTGTTTGATGATACATAGAGGGGATTGTAATCATTGCAATGAAACAAAATACAATAAGCTGAATGTGGAACTCATGTTCTCCCATGTGAACCCACATAATTCACAATAAAAACTCAAAAAAAAAAGTTACTGGAAGATCTAGACTTTGATCATGGTCTCTTGAGAACAGATTTCCCAAAATGAAAACTTGCTACATGATAGGCATTGGGGAAAAAAGTCATAAAGAACTTAGCTTTCCTAGCTTATAGACTATAGGCTCATTGACTAGTTAAGTGTTGAACATGGAATTTTTAAAACAAGGGTCACTTTTTTTTTTTTTTTCTTAAATTTTTTGTGTGAATTATGTGATAGTTTACATGGGAGAACATTAGTTTTACATTCATTCTATCATATATCATCTCATTGCCATGGTTACAATCCCCTCCATGCATCATCAACCAACCAAAGGGTATACCCTGCAATCCTTCCCCCGTACCCCCCAGGTCTTCAGCACAATGTAGCTCTCCCTCTCTGGATCTAAAGTCTCCAGCTGCTCCATCGCTCCACGTCGTCACGTCTGCCTCCATTTCAGGCATCACTGCTTCTGTAGGTAGGGTCCCGCTCTCTGCTCTTCTCCCTTGATGGTCCTAGGGACCTCAGCTCTTAGACTGGAAAATGAATCACTCCCCTCCTTGCTATAAAATGTCTACCTTTACATTTCCAACCCTCACAATCAGTCCTGATAAAAATTATTCACTATTGTATCACAAGAGACCCGTCTGCATTTCATTGCATCAGCCCCGCCTAGACAGATTGAATACTACTCACTGGAGATTCTACCTTCCTCCAGGCCCTCTGGATCTAGGTTCCCTCTTGAAAGCTTGTAAGCCAGTCACTTCTTGCCTTTGTAGCCCCCCGCCTCCTGTTTTGGGTAGCCAATGTCCGAGTTGCCCATCCCTGTCTATTCTGTGTGTGGAGGGGGTGGGAATGATTCTTGCTGTAAGGACTTGTTCCCGCTAAACAAGGGTCACTTTTGTTGCACAACTGAAAGTTCTGGTCTTGAGCCTGGGCATACATAGCACAGTATTTAAATGATTAGACACAGGAAGCAGTGATATTTACAATATAGCTTGGATATTCACTAAAGGACGGGAATCCTGGTATGGCACTGCAGGTTGATGTGCTAGACTGCAAAGTTGGTTTGAACCACAAAGTCGGAGGTTCAAGCTCACTAGCCACTCTTCAGAAACCCTATACAGGGTCGCCAATAGTTAGAATTGACTCAACTGCACCTAACAACAAAGGACGGGGAGGCAAAGCAAATTTTTGTCTCAGAGCTGTATCCTCCACCATTGAGGAAATGAAACTGATATATAAGTGAGGGTTAATATGGGTGGGACTGTGACTAAGAAATTCTACACAATAGTTGTGGAAAGGGGGCAAGAGTGAAAAATAAATGGTTTTATTTATAAGTATTTAGAAATAAGTTATCCAAGACTTCCCATCTCAAGCAGCCAAGTTACTCTATTTACATCTTTAGGATAAGGCATCGATCAATAATGCAAGAGCTATCTACTTAGTCATAAAATAAATCAATTAGTACATTTGGCCTTTGGATGAAAACTTGGGCACATGAACACAAATGACATGGAGTATGCATTTTTATCTGTTACAAGGCAAACAGCATTCACAAGCATCTTACTGAAGCTAAAAGAACAAAAGGGGAACTCAAGACAAATGAATTGTATACCACCTAAAATTCTACTGTGAAGAATTGGGCACACTGCTAACACCCCTTTGTTGAGTTTGTGGGCTCACTCAAGACTGCAACTCTTCAAAATTATTTTGTTCATAAGGTTTTACATCCCTTGATACTGAATTCTCATCTCAGGGGGTGAAAACTTCAAGGTTAGAAGAGAACGCACACATTGAAATATAACTTTGGTGAAATGCACTGATGGGTTGTTTCCAGAGCTATATACTAAAAGTCATTTCTGTTCATCAGAAAAGAATTTCTTTCTGTTCTGCTTCATTTTTTTTTTTTTTCATCTACAAATGACTTTTATAGCAGTGAAAGGTTATATATGAGAAACTGCCACTCATAGTTAGCCAAAACTTGTACTCATAAAGTTGTGCTGCACAAAGGGCTGACACATGTTAAAAAGCACAAGGAACATTTAGGAGGAAACGGTTTCTACTTTGGCCAACAGACATTTATGACAACACAAGCTGGCACTTGTACAAAGTACTGCCACTGTTGCTAAGAGAGCTAGGTCCTTAAAAATACAACAGAAGTAAATGCTCCTCTTGGACAAAATGAATGTACACAACTAAAGAATTTACCTTTCAACACAGGAGACATGTCAAATGATATGCTTGTAAAGTATTAGAATGGTAGTGAGTGCCCAAGACGTATTCTGCCTAGAGACAAAGATAGGTAGACAGACAGACTAGACCAAGACTGAGACCAACAGATACCAATTATCCAAGACGGACGCCAGCATATATTAGTCTAACAACTTGTAGAACTAAGGCAACCTCTTTTTTTAAAAAAATCCAATTTCAATACAATTGGTTTAAAATGTAAAAGGCTATCAAGTGAATTTTTTGTTTTGCTTTTTTAAAATCAGATTTTACTTTTATGGTCTCTTGTATTAACAGGGGTACATGTACTATATTTAAGTAAAACACAATGTAAAAATTGCAATGAAAGGTAATTCCTGACTTCTGAAAATGTAATGACTTTTTAGATTCTTGCTTAACTTTATAAAGCTTGTTTGGTTAATTTCATGGAATGTTGTTAGATTAAAATGGTCCAAAATACATTAATAACTACTAAGTAGATTCCAACTCAAGTTGAGAAGTGGCAAGATTTATTGGTCTTTCAGGTAAGCAATGATAGAGAACCTAAAGTCAATATTTAGTCAAAATTTATCTTGAAAGGCAATAAATCTTGATTTTTGCTGAGGCAAGTAAGTAAATATGTGTACCACTCTGGAGCGTCAAACTGCTGTTCTATAGTAAATATCTATCTTGACTTGTAAAATTAATAATCTATGGCATAGATTTTCACTTCCAAAGACAAGGTTTCAGTTGTTGAGTTACTTTTGATTTTTCTTACAATAAGATAGATGTGTCAGTACCAGCACTGATGGTAGTACTAGTAAGCTATGAAAAGTTTAATAATAAAATGTTCTAAATTTACTATCAAGTATATTTAAATCAGTTTAAATTTAGCACTT